TATTAAGTTTAGGTTATATAGAAAATATTTATCGAATTTAAATTGTAAATTTTAACATGCTTCAAAATATTTTAAAACGTGTTCATTTTGAATAACAGTTAATTATTTACCACAATACCTAGTTATTTATTCATCTATTAAAAATTATTTTTAATTAAAACTTAAAAATGTTTTATTGTATTATTATCAAAGTTGAAATAAAAAAATTCCTGATTAAAATCTTTTATGATCCAATGCTGGCCCAGTGATTAGGTTTAAAAGTTATCGAAACCACACATAATTTATAACTTACTTTTTACATTCCCCCTTCCAAGTATCAATCAAACTATGCAGTAATTCATACAATATCAGAAATAAATTTTTAGGCTAAAATTTTAACATATCCTTGATTTAGATTTTCGAAGTCTAAATAAAAATAATCTAGTTCTATACTTCACCTGCTCCGTATTTTATTTGACCTAAACTATGAACTAACTACAAAACTCACAATCTATATTACTATCATAAGATACGCCAGAGCATAAACAATTCAAATATGGAGTTTAGTCAAACCATTAAGACTTAAAAGGCTTCAAACATTTCACTTAATTTGTCTTCGTAAAATTGTACCTAAATGTTATTGTACATAATTTATCCAGTAAAAAGTCATTATTTAACTTCACCAAAGAACTCAAAGCAATCAAACTCCACTAATTAAACTTCTTTCCTTTCACATCACTTATACAGGTTCTAATAGACGGCTACATAAATGTGTATATATAATTTTAATAAATTTAATATGATTTTAAATACAAAAAAAAAAAAAATAATTAAACATTGAAAACTACTACATTATACTCCACACCTTCATTTTTAGATAAACAGATACTTTATATTTTATAAGAATAGTACAGTATCTATTATTTTTATTCTGTTTTAAACAAATTATATTTTTTTGCAATGATAAAACTTTTTATTGCATAACTATACAAACCTATCGTATTAATAGTATGTATTTATATTGTATTATCCCATGTAATTAGGTAAAATTGTATTCAACTGTTAGTTCAAATCAGTTTTATGAATGTATAATTCAATTTACGCTATTATTTTAGTCTTAGATCAATACTACTGTTTAAGTATACGAAGGGGTTGAATCATCTCATAAAAATTATAAATTTATATCTGATTTTAAATACAAATTTAACATTTAAGATACAATTTCGAGGTATAGCAATAAATAAAGTAATGACAAATTTAGCAGAAAAAATTTTTTGATCTTATATTACCTTAGAAATTGAGCATGGCCATTTAAACTCACAGTCGATTTAAATTTTTGAAAGACATATATAAATTTATACATGAATAGACATGGAAATAATTTTAAAGTTGAAGTTCAACTATAATTATGAATTTTTTTTTTTTTTTTTGAACAATTTTAATCGTTTTTAATCAAATAAGTACTTTTCTGACACCATTCCTGGTAACCCTCCTCGTTGATTGAAGAGAAAGTGGTGTAGAGACTTAAATATCAATTAGCTAAATATATAAGGTAAATTTAAATTCAACCTAATCATGTCATAAAGTGTCGCCATTGGGTGGCTGCTTTTATCACGTTTATGCCAAGCTATATTATATATTTCCGCATGCGTACTTATTGCAATAATTTATTTACAGATTGTACGCTTTAAAATAAAAAGTTTAAAAAAAAACTATAGAAAATTAATTTTTTTATCAAAAATAACATATAATATAAATTTAATAAAAAGTAATTAACAGAATGTTTAATTGAATTCAACGATAAATCATAGTATACAAAGATTTATTCTGAGCGGAGACAGAATATTATTTCTTAATATATGTTATTACATACCTATTCAGTAACTATTATAGTCATTTGTTTTACTATTAATAATACGGTATACGATACGTTATATAGTATAAATAGTCTATAGTTTAAAATTAATTGAAATATAATGTAAAATTTAACCACATACAGCAAAATAAATATAATATTAAAGATAAAAAGTTATAGTCCCTTATAAATTAGTAATATTTTGAATAATAAAACAAATATCAATATCAGTATTGTTTGTTAAAAAATCCAATTTTATCAATATTAGAACTTCATATGTCTATAAAAAAAAAACATTTTACAATATATTTGTAAGTATCAGCGCTCGGTAAGAACTACTTATGAGGAACCTTGTGCGTATTGAGTTTTTAAATCTTAACTATTGTAAATAAAAGAACTATTTATATCATAACATGTAATACGTTAATAATTATACTAAAAAATTAAATTAATAATACATTTAATTTAATTTGTACAATACTGAATTACTTACCAATTTCGAAAAATAAAATGTTTGCTATAAAAATATTATAATCATTATATTAAGTTATTAAGCAAATAGTTAAACATTTTTTAACAAACACATCCAAATAATCATTTTAAATCAATATGTAAATTTACATAATGACAAGTAATTTAATGTACAGTTAGGTTCATAACAAATTGACAATTGAATATACATTTTATTTTGTACATAGTATTGGATATTGGTTAAATACAAATTCCCTGAACTAAGTTTAACTGGTTCAATAATAAATTTAGTATTAAACGAATATATCATATATTAAGTAAAAAGACCATATTTTTATAAAGTCAATAGATTCATTGCTCAACTCAGAATCTAAAATTTACTACCTAATATTTACAAAGTATAGTTAGGTACTATGTTGAAGAGTGATGTGCGTTTTATGCGATGAAGTAAGAGAAAAAAATCAAAATAAAATGAAATAAAATAAATACCTGAAAAATAAAGATTATTTATCATTTACAATAAAAATAAAAGTTACTAAGAACTATTTTAACTAAGAACTTTACAACATCTATTTATGGTTTAAAAATATATTTTCACAGTACAATAAAATCATAGAACTCATAGAGCGTTCATAATAATAAGTGATTTCTTATGAAAAATGGATTATTAATATTTCTAGATTTGGAAATTATAAAATAAATAATAAATATAAAGAGAGATAATTTTCATAAAAATTTCAAAAAATTAGCCAAAATAACTAATCAGAAATATTTTTAAACTATAATTAACCAGCATTTATTAATGTTATATGTAGTAAATGAATAATATTAATAATTATTTATTTTCGTATACACATATGTCTTATTTCTTCTAACAAAACACTTTTTTAGGACTAAACATAAAAATAAATGAAAATTTTTTTATATAGAAAATTTACTAAAAATATATTATTATTTATCATGTGAAAAACAACTGTTAATATAATTATGAAGAAATAATTATAAATATATAAATTTAAGTAAAATTAAATAAAAATATTACGGAGTAAAACAACATAACTAGACTTGAAATTTTGTTATATACTTTATATATATTATATATTTCATAAATGACATCACTTCATTGTATTCGAAATTCTCGATGTACTTGAGAATTGAATTATTTAATTTGATTAGGGAATTATAATATTAAAGGAGCATAATATAAAATATCTATTCATTATTTACTATTGATTATGAATAATGATATTTACGCACTTGAATAACTATACTTATGTACACTAGAAGTAGATAGGTATTAACTCTTAGTTATTATCATGTACACTGTAAACTGTACAATTATAGAATATTATTACTAGGTAAGCAAACAGTAGTTTATGGTAGTCTGATTAACAACAATTTAAATATATTCCTTAAAAGTTCATAAAAATGTAAGTAGTATTTTTTGGTAAACATACTTTTTTCAAAATATTTTTCAATACATTCATTTTTAAAAATATGTATTACTCTTAATATATATTATTTTATTGTAACTCATAAACATAATAATACATGAAAATTAGCATCATAGGTATTGTATTCTCTATCAATTTATCATACTTTACATAAAAATAAGACTTGTATTATTTAAATTTTAAATTATTATTTATAACGTATCACAACAATAAGATATATCGGTAATCCTTAAATCGTTTTTCGTGTAATAAAATAGCTTTTATTCGCTATAAATGAATAAATAAACAAATAAATATTGTATTTAACATTATTTTTTATAATTCTAGACTTAAAATGGATGCAATATTCAAAGAAGAAATACTGCCAAATCCAAGATCAAAAGCTAATATTTTTGAAATTATAACATACAAGTAAATTTAACAGTATTTAACACAACTATATCGTTTAAATTTATTGTAAAAAAAATAAAACTTAATTTACATTAAATATTTAATGATCTTTTAAATCTTTTAAATTTATATTCAAATAAAATAAAATTTATAATTTCGTATCCAAAATAAGCATTAATACATCTTGATTTGAATTATTTTCATGTAGGAATCCTATTTTTAATTTTTATGTTTCCATAACATATCAAGGAGTATGGTATATATTTTTAATCAAAGAAATATATAATTTTAACAAAAAAAGCGAATTGCATTTAAATTTAAGTAAAGTTAGTAAATTATATAATTATAAAACCTATTTTAATAAACTAAACAAACTTTAAAATTTTCATTTTTTTTTTTTTTCATATATTTAATTACTATTATTTTTAATGATACAATATTTTAAAATCAATAGATACTAATATACTTCATAAGTAGTTCATTTTAGATGTCTGTTAAACTCTTTATATCAATGTACATTTTAATTTTCAAATTTTATAATTATTTTTTCAAGATATTATCCATTACCTTTATTTTAAGATCATTATACAGAGCTATATTCTTTCCTTAATACACAACAAATCTGGAAATTGCCACCTAAATCTCACTTCCTTATTTTGTTGTCAATAAAATATAATATACACATAATAATAGATATTACTAAAAACACGCTTAAATAGCTTATCATCTTAATTCTCTAAATTAAGAATAAAAGTTAATAATGATAAATTCTCCGATATTAAGTAATCGCTTAAGAAAAGCGATATCTCTCCGATCATACTTGATTATCAAGTTATAATATGTTTTCATTATAAATATTTAGGATTGACTTTTGAAAGACTTCTGACTTTTCCGATTCATAATAAAAACAAAATACTTATTATAAATTTTAGGCAAAAATCTCTCTACTCATAGTTATATAAAATATTTCAATCGCAATTTAATACTAAACTGTATATCTTTAAATGCTTACTCATAAGTCATAACCATTCGAATCTATAGCATCTAATTTATAATTGCTGCCAAATTATCTAATATTAATAATATTTAACCTTTTCAATGAATATAACCTTATGAATGCTTAAAAAACCTCTTTTTTGTGTATAAAACTATTCACTGTATTCGTATATATAAACTCAAACCATTCCTTAAATGTTTTAATTCTTTTAAGAATATTTTCAAATGCTTCAAATAATCATACAAATACCTTAATTTAAAAACTTAACTGCACTTTAACATTCTGTGATACCACAAAAAGTTTAAAAATAAGATGATACGCAAATAAAACTTCCTAAAAAAGAGGAAAAATGATTAATTTTTGTTCAAATATTCAAATTTTATCAAAATCTAAACTTTATAAATCTATAAAAAATTCAACTGTAGAAATATATATTTGTTATTTTTAAATTTTTAATACAATAACTTGTAAGAAATTTTATATTACATTTTCAATCGTTTTTCACAAAATGTAAATATTTTTATCGATATTCATTAAAAAAATTAAATGCCGATGTGTATACAAAACAATTATTTAAAAACAATAAAATGTTTTAAAATGCTGAGCTCAGAATCATATTATTAAATAATATATTTATAACTAATCAATAAAATAGGCTCTTTGAAAATTAAATTTGTATATCTATAGTATTATATATGAAAATATGTATTTATAATTTTAAGGTGGATCTTAAAATTTATCAAAAAAGGATTAAACAAAGAACTAGATTTAATTGATTTATATAAAGTTTTGGATTGTGATTCATCTGATCTATTGGGAAATAAATTACGAAAGTAAATAATTTTTCATGTATTTATTCAAAAATTTAAATTAACATTAAAAAGTATATACATTTATTTTAGTAATTGTTTATTTATTATTATTTTTTTTTTTTTTTATATATAGATTTTGGGATGACGAATTAATAAATGCAAGAACTAATAACCGAAATCCTAATTTTGTTAAGACGCTATTTAAAACGTTTGGCACAAAGTTCATGTTTAATGTAACCTATTTAGCTGTATTACAAATTATTTTAAGGTAATATTTTATAAAATAGTTATTTTCATTAAAGATATAATAATATAATGCAATAAACAATACATTTTTAATTATTAATATTACGTATAATTCAATAAGTAATTAAAAGATTTATTATCAAGGTAGCAATAAAAAAATACCCTTTCTTTTTATTAATAGCATGTGCATTTCAACTATGGTAGGACTAATAGTCAATCATTTTGAAATTAAATCATCTTTTGATCAAAATCCAGTTGGAGTATACTTAGCAATTGGACTAATTTTACTATTGTTAACAAGGGCAATGGTTTATAATAGCAACAATATGTCAAATGCACATTTATCAATGCAAATACGTGTGGCGACATGTGATCTTATATATAATAAGGTAATTTAGATAATACTGTTGTGATCTACAATATCCATCATGGATCATCATTTATCGACCGCGAATGCTCTTTATTGGAGCTATTGTCGATAGCAACCAATTAGTAAATATTATTTTTTATGACAATACAAGCATATCAGTCTACTTTTATAGTCTATAAGCATTTTATATCACCATATTTGTTCAATCTTATGCTTAATTTATTTTTATAAAAATAAAATATATTTATAAATACTAAATAATATTATTAAATATACCTACGTTAAAATAGCATCACCTACGCAAAAATAGTGTTACGTTAAAATAGTTGTAAGTCAATACGGCTACGCCAAAACATCTGGGTCCCCAATATATTCAAGAAATCATTTTCAAAAAACGATGCTGAACATGTTTTGAACCTAAATAAACATTCTCTAAAAAATACAGTCAAAAATAACTTATAAAATTAATATCTGTAATTTAATATTTATATTTTTTTAACAATATACAATATAACAATGTACAATAAGTACTTTTCACATTTACATTACAAGCATATGTTACATAATTAATAAATATACTTATTTGTAACGTTCTTATTTATATTATTAATTACATACGTAACATATATTTATAAATTTAAAGTTTGAATTAAGGTACTACCTTGAGGGTAATATCCTCAAATTAAATTTCACATTAGGTATGTTCTTAGCTGTATACAAATTGCGTCCCTGATATAAAAATTGCAATTTTTGACATACTTATTGCGTCCCAGGTTTTCTATACTACTATACTAATTGCGTCCCGAAAATATTTATAAACAACTTAGTTCAATTACACGAATAACAAATAGCTAGCTGTAAAACTTTCCATTCAAAATTGAACGGTATGTTTTATTCTGCTCATTCAAATATCAACAATTTCATTGATATACTTCAAAGTGTACAAAAATATACTTCAGAGAATAAGACGTGAAATCTGTTAAAAACTATCATTTTTAAGAAAAGAAATTATTAAATATGACGTTAATGAAATAACACGTTTTGTTCGTTTTGATTTTGTCAAAATTGTATGGTTTAATTTTTTCCGAGCCATAAATAATATTATAATAACATATATATAATTTGTACATTATGACTAATATTTTTTGCTATTTTTTTTATTCTTTTATTCTTATATTTAACGACGAAAACAATATTTTTGATGTACATAATTACGAAACGATAAAAATCAATATTTTTAACTTACATTAGCAATATAATATTTATAATATTTATTTAATGTTGTTATTGAGTCTTAAGTCTATATCAAATAGAAAAGAAAATAATGTATTTGCATCGGACGCAATTCGTATAAAAAAGGGATCTTGAAACGCAATTTGTTTACATCGATGTTCTTAATGGTAAAAGTATTGCAACATTTTTTTCATACTAAAATACGATAACGAAAATAGGCCAGAATGTCGTAATTAGTAATATAAATATAAAAAAAATATTTATATAGAATATAAAATATATTTTTATACCTATAATCTATATGTATAGTATAAAATATAAATAGTTACAACCAGCAACATATTTTATTTAATTGTTATTTTACTTAAACTTTTAAAATATTATAAACCTACTAGATGCCTAATTCAAATGTTAAAAAACTTATAAAATAATTATTTTGTTTTTAATAAAATATTTTTAATATATTGACTATAGCAGCTTTTTTTTATTTTTAGTATATTAGATAATATTTTAATATCAAATTGGCTATTTAATGCTTATACAAACATAGAATCACATATTTTACAATATAATTGATTTTATTAGACTCTGCGGCTCAAAATAAATTCTCTAGACCCGACTACAACTGGTCATATAATAAACTTAATGTCCAATGACGTTAACCGATTTGATGTATCTTTTCCGTATTTACCTTACTTGATAATTGGACCTTTGGAAACATTTGTTACAATTTATTTTTTGTGGCAAGAAGTAGGTGTGTCATCAATTATAGGAGTGATCACATTACTCATCTTTATACCATTACAAGGTTAGTAAATAAATAATTTAAATATGTGTTATTATTATTATTATTAAATTTTTTTTTAATTGTTATTTAAGTCTGGTTGGCGTCGATAACTTCTAATATTCGATTAAAAATAGCCAACAGAACCGACAAGAGAGTTAATTTAATGAACGAAGTAATATCGAGGTTACAAGCAATCAAGATGTATACTTGGGAACCATTTTTTGACAATCTTGCAAAACATTTAAGACAGTAATTTGTTCAAAAAAAAAAAAAAATTTAGTAATAATTTAAAAAAATTTTGATTTATTTTAGGGAAGAAATTACCAAAATTATCAAAGTATCATACATAAAAAGCATTTTAACGTCTTTCTTTTTATTTAACACAAGAGTAGCGTTGTTTTTTAACATATTTGCATACATTATGCTTGGAAATTATATAACCGCATCAAAAGTAATTTAATACTTATTAATAATAATTATATCATCATATAAATATATGAACCATTTACTATATATTTTGTAGTAAATTTTTATTAATAAATGTCATAAATTCTATACAAAATAATATTTCATATTATCTCATTCAACTGTAACATATGGTAAAGATGTAAGTTATGGTATCAATAATGAATTAACCACTTAACTTCTAATAGTATATACCAAAAAATTAATTTTTAAATTAATATTCATTATATTATTATTTAATTGTATATTATATGATTTATTTTTAAACAAATACTGATTAAATATAATTTTATACAAAATAATACAATATCATATCGTAATTCCTAATTAAATACTTTTTATGAGATTAGGTGTTTGTTATAACGTCGTATTATAACATTTTGCGAACATCACTAACACTATGTTTCCCACCAGGGATAAGTCTAGCTGCTGAATTACTAGTTTCAATCAAAAGAATTGAGGTATGAAGGAAATATATGTATAAAATAAAATACATGACATTTTTTTTTTTTTTACTTATTTTATATAATAACTATAGAATACTTTATAGCATTTCCTGTTACGTGAAGAAAAATATGAACAATCAGAAAAAGGAAGTCAAACAAAAACCATAAATGGGTTTGAAAAATCAAATAATCATAGTGCAGTTCCAAATAACAATAATATCAATCAAAATGATACTAAACAATTAAGTAATTTTAGTATAGTCATTTCAAATGCTACTGCCAAGTGGTCGGACGCTCAAACCGAAAATTCTTTAGATAATATTAATTTAATCATAAGACCTGGTCAATTGGCTGCAATAATCGGACCAGTAGGAGCTGGAAAAGTACAACTAATATAAAAAAATCTACCTTAATCATTTGATTAACTTAAAATTCAGATAGTCATTCGATTTCATAGAGTTCGTTAATACAAGCAATTTTACAAGAGTTACCACTTTCTGAAGGGAACATCTCAATACATGGAAAAATATCTTATGCGTCACAAGAACCATGGTTATTTTCAGGTTCTATAAGACAAAATATTTTATTTGGTTCAGCGATGGATAAGGATCGTTATAAAAGGGTAAACAGTTCATATATATATATATATATATCAAAATTAAAAACAAAAGAAACAATTTTATATTATTTTTTTTTATCTGATTGTGACTAAGGTTATACAAGTATGTGCATTAAAAACTGATTTAGAACAATTGACGTACGGAGATAGAACAATAGTAGGAGAAAGAGGAGTTTCTCTTAGTGGCGGACAGAGAGCAAGAATTAATTTAGCAAGGTATAATGATATTATTAGTTTTAAAAAAAATATTTTTATATTATGTTTTATTCTAGAGCAATATACAAACAAGCAGATATTTATTTATTAGATGATCCTTTATCAGCAGTCGATACTCGTATTGGAAAGCATTTATACGAAAAATGCATAAAATGTATTTAAATATTTTATATCATATCTGAAATTACCAAATTTAATTATTTTATAATGCATAGATTATCTTAAAGAAAAGACTTGTTTACTCGTAACCCATCAAATTCAATACTTAACTAATGTAGATAAAATTATTTTGATGGAAAATGTAAGAATGTATAATAATATTATATGGGTAAAAAAATTAAATTCTACTTTTATATCACTTTTTATATTAGGCAAAAGTGGTAACAGAGGGTTCTTATCAAGAACTTCAAACTTCCGGTTTAGAATTCACAAAACTGTTCAAATCGTCTACTGAAACAGCAGTTTTGCTCGATAATGAATGTAAAATGAATAAATCTTGCAACAATTATAAAGCACGTTCCATACCATATAATCGACAAGAGTCTGTCTTAAGTATTGCGTCGTCAATAGAAGAGAGCATATTTAATAATACTATGACTGAACCAGTTGAAATAGCCGAAACGAGTTCTTCAAAAAATATATCATTTAATGTTTATTTATCATACATTTTTGCTGGTGGCCATATTTGCAAAGTTATATGTTTAGTATTGGTTTGTGTTTTAACACAAATTATTGCATCAGGTGGAGATTATTGGTTAACTTATTGGTACTTAATATTTTTTATAAATTTAAAAATTCATGAAATATTAGTATTAAGTTTTAGGTTTCTTTTAGGGTAAATTTAGAAGAACATTTTTTTATTAAAATCAAACCTTTGATGCCTATCAGTAATGGCACATCTACCACAGATGATCCTTATATAGAATTAATACCGTGGATTGTATCAAGAAAAACTTGTATTATTGTATTTGCTGCATTAACTTTCTCGATAATATTAGGCGCCTTAGCTAATTCCATTTTATTAGTATCTATATGCACTACAGCATCAACGAATTTACATAACCAAATGTTTAATGCTATCACAAGATCAACAATGCATTTTTTAAATAAGAACCCATCAGGTAAAAATATAGAACTGTCAAAACTTTTTATTTGATTAATCGCAACTTATTTTATTTTAGGGCGAATTCTCAATCGTTTTACAAAAGATATAGGACTTATTGATGAAATATTACCTAATGTTTTAGTTAGCGTTATACAAGTAAAATATAATAATATAAATTTTATATCTAAATATATTTATATATTTATTACATTTTATTAGATTGGTTTAATGGTGATTGGGATAATCGTAGTTGTTGGCATTGTCAATCCTTATTTAACCATACCAACAATCATTTTAATGTTGGTTTTTTTCAAAATGAGAAATATTTATGTAACTACAATTCGTAACATTAAACGTCTAGAAGGAGTCAGTAAGTATTGTAAATAACTAAATTTTTATTAAAATGTAAGCATTGAATTAACTAATTGTTTATTAAATATAATACTTCTCAGAAGTTAATTGAATTAAACATACATATAAAATCAAATAATTTTTTTGTCTTAAAAATTTAGCTCGGAGTCCTATATATACCCACGTGAATTCATCTATTCTAGGATTGACGACAATAAGATCATTTAAAGTTGAACAAATTCTTTTTAAAGAATTCGCCATCCACCAAGTAATAAAATACCAGATTAAAATATATAATTTTTTTTTATACTTATTAAGTAAAAAATATTTTTAGAATTTACATTCTTCAGCGTGGTATTTATTTATTACTTTAAATAAAGCATTTGGATTTTGGCTGGATTTAATTTCCATATTATTTATAAGTACTGTAACATTTTACTTAATATATTTTGACAACGGTAAGTACTCATATAAAAATGTATTTAAAATTAGATTTTAATAAAAAAATGTTTAACATATTTACAAAACAATTTTTGGAAGAAAAATATGTATCTAGTTGGTTGTTATGAATTTTTTATTTTTATACTTATTGAACGAGTATTTTATGAATTATAAATATTTTAAATTAATATGAGTGAAGTAGCGAAAAATACACCAAAAAATATTATTCTGCTTCTCCAATCGCATAAGTTTTAAATTGTTAGGAAGCTTAACTAATTAACAACTCGTCTGATCTTATTTTTTTTATTCTTTTTTTTGTGTGTATTAAAATACTCTAAATAATATTCTGTTTTAGAATATGAAATTAAATTATATATTGTCATAAAAAGTAAAATATTAACAAACTACAACAATACATTTTTGCTAAAGTATATTTTTTTTCATATCTATTAACTATTTATGACTTTAAATAATGAAAAAAAGTATTTTCATAAACTTATAAAATAATTTATGTTCTTCGATGGAATAAAAATCACCTGGTTTATTGATAGTAACTAAAATTAAATTGTATTACATTTAAGATTCATCATCTTTGTTTAGATTAGTGGTTCTCAAACTTTTTTCCGCGTACTACTTAAATATATCATCAATTAGTCGCGTATCACTAATTCCTAAAAATAGAACAATCCAAATCGTACATAGTTTAATACATTTATTTAAATAATAAGACAACAAAATAGTACAATATTTATTTATGTATATAATTTTATTAGTTTTTTTTAAATAAGATTTAAATAAAATGACAATTTTTTAATAAGAACCATGGATATGTAGGTTTGATCTTAGAGATGAAATATCTAGTAAATAATCTTAATTATTTTACAAAATGATATTATAATACTATTTCAAACACAAGTAAAATATTTATTTTTAATTTTCGTACCAGCATGTAGTCTTTTGAGTACCATTACTGATACGCGTATCATAGTTTGAGAACCGCTGGTTTAGATAATTTAACATAATTATAGATAACTACAGTGGAAATGTTGGATTGGCTATTACGCAAACAATTGGATTAACTGGTTTGTTTCAATGGGTAGTTAAACAATCTGCGGAATTGGAAAATCAAATGATGTCTGTTGAAAGAGTTTTAGAATACATTAATATACCACAAGAATCAACTCTTGAATCGCTTCCAGGTTACAGCTGTTAGTACACTAATATATTATCATACACTGAAAAATAAATTAACAATTTAATAAAATTTCTAAAATTATTCTAGACAAGAAGCCACCAAAAATATGGCCACATAAAGGTCAAATTATATTTAAAAAATTGTATCTACGTTATGATCAAGATGCGCCATTTGTTTTGAACGACCTGAATTTTAACATTGCACCTGCAGAAAAAGTAATATTTAAAATTAGATAATATTATAATGAAAAACAAAATACCAGATTTATTTATTTTCTATAAATTATTACCTAGGTAAATATTGCAATAAACAAAAATCATGTAGGTACGTATAAGTATTAGTACCCAAACCAAACAAACCAAAACGTCTAATACCCTCATACAGGCCCATCAGTTTACTACTCACACTCAGTAAATTATTTGAAAAATTACTCTTCAACAGATTAATTCCGATAATCAAAGAAAAAAATATACTCCCAAAATTCCTATTTGGGTATCGTTTCTCACATAATCCAATTCATCAAATCTACCGGATTACGGACAAAATTGCCACTTCATTAGAAAACAAGCAGTGTTGTCCTGGAGTATTTTTAGATGTTGCCCAAGCCTTTAACGGGGTTTGGCACGAAAACCTCTTATACAAACTGAAACTTTTTCTACCAGCTCTCTATTATTTAATTCTAAAATCTTACCTTACAAACTGCTCATTTTTAGTACGCCACTCCAACTCACTCTCTGACGCTAAACTGATAAAAGCAGTCCCTCAAGGTAGTGACCTCTCACCTATCTTAAAAAATATATTCACATCCGATATACCTACCGTCGATCAACACCTTACTGGCTACCTTTGCAGATGACACTGCAGTTCTAGCGCCTAAAAAAGATCCTATCTCTGCTGCCAATACCTTTTAGTCACACTTAAATAAAATAAATTCATAGACTAAAAAGTAGAAAATAAAAATCAATGAAGATAAATTAGTCCAAGTAAATTTCTCTTTAAGTCTTAAAGAATGCACTCAAATTCAAATAAACAACAAACTAATCCCAATTCAGCCCTCTACAAAATACTTAAGAATCATACTTGACAGGTATCTCGCATAGGCCCAACATACAAAATCCAAACGTAAATAGGTAAATGCACGACTTCGCTTATTCAGACCACTTCTAAAATCCAAAATTCAGCTCAAATTTAAAACCCTTATATATAAAGCCATAATTAAACCAATTGGTAATATGGCATACAGATTTTAGGTCCTGAAAATCAATCTAATATACGTCTTATTCAAGCCTTCCAATCTATTACTCTTAGAATGATAACCGGAGCTCCATGGTTCATTACTATATAGTTACCTATTAATGTATTATAAATTATAATATTTAAACAAATATAAATTGTGTATTTTTAGATAGGAATCGTAGGAAAAACTGGTGCAGGAAAATCATCTTTGATTTCTGCATTGTTCAGATTAGCTTTTAATAAAGGTAAAATTATTATCGATGGAATAGAAATACATGAATTGGAATTACACGACTTACGATCCAAAATGTCTATCATACCTCAAGAACCAGTTTTGTTTTCAGGAACAATGAGAAACAATTTAGATCCATTTAATGAATATCAAGATCATGTTCTTTGGAAAGCTTTAGATGAAGTAAAATTATTATTTTTAATACTGCCATGCGTATTATGCGTTCAATATTTACTGGCACAAAAAAACACTATTAATTTATATTCTACATAATTAATATTTTCAGGTAGAACTCAAAACTGTTGTAGACGATTTATCGGATGGCCTAAATTTAAAAATTTCAGAAGGTGGATCTAATTTCAGTATTGGTCAAAGACAATTAATATGTTTGGCTAGAGCAATTATACGAAATAATAAAATTATTATAATAGATGAAGTCACTGCAAACATTGATCCACAGTAAAAAGTTGAATTTAAAAATATTAGAATCACTAAAGTCATGTTCTTAATTTCTACTTTTAGAACTGATTCTCTGATTCAAAACACTATAAGAAATAAATTTCATAAGTGTACAGTATTAACGATTGCACATCGCTTGAATACAGTCATAGATTCTGATAAGATGCTTGTAATGAACGCTGGCACAATAGTCGAATTTGATGATCCATATATTTTATTAAAAAATAAAGATGGATATTTGCATAAAATGGTAGAACAAACTGGACAAAGCAATGCTCAATCATTACATCATTTAGCTTATGAGGTATTAATTTTTCTTAAATTTATATCCACTTAGATATATTTCATTTTATAAATATATATTTTTATAATTTTTAAAGAGTTACAATAAAAGAAAAATACCAAATGAACGACGATTTTCAAGTATTAACGAAGATGAAGATAAACTCAAATTATAAATATTGTTATTTATGTATAATCAAATAAGTAATAGATAATTATTGCATATTTATACACATTTAGGTGATTATACAATTATAAAAACTATTTGAAATTTTTCTTTATCTATTTTATAAATAATTGCAATTTCATGATTTTTTTGTTTTTTATATAAGTTTGTATTTATAAAATTTTTTAATTGAATACCAATGTTACAATAATTTATTACTCAATTTAAATTCGACACATACCTGTAACCTAAATGACTTGAAATATTATGAGGTATACTTGTATAGTTGACATCTATCATACCGTCATACCACAGAACGATATTCATAGTTATTTAATACTAACCCTAATAACAATTTTTCTCAACTTAAATATTCTTAGAAATTTATAACTAAATTTTATCAATAATATTATATGTTTTATTAATCATAATTTTTTAGAAATATTTTAAATATAATATTTAACATACCTACAAAATTTTCATTTTTCGAAATATTTGAGAACATTAAAAAAAAATTTAATTGAGAACGTAGAATAAAATTATTTTAAGTATATTTTTACAAGATTCACATAAAATTAAATCGTAAATTAAAAAATAATTCTTAGAAAATATTTTAAAAATTATATATCAATAAAATAGATTAATATTATTTAAAATATATTTTTTAAATGTTCACTTTATATTTTTTTTTAAAACCAAAGTTATAAAATATAATTATTTTTGAATAAAAATGAGTTCTGTTGTACAACTACACAAAAATTACTGAATTTGTTTAAATGCGTTTATATTAAGAGACGAGCCACGGGGTATATAAAAGTGGATACAAAAAGTAGTTAAATATATACTTGTAATATATTACTCTTTAATGGATTTTTTCCCAAGTCCTGTCTCCGACCTAGGGTATTCACTTAAAGCAAGATTTATCACCCCCTATGATTAATAAAAAGATTGTGTTATTAGTACCTATATGTAACATCATTTTATTTTAACAATACTAGCTAATATAAACAAAAAAAATAAATAATAGTTATAAAATTTATTTATCGTCACTAATCATTAACAGCAGCTGTCAATTAATATTCTGCAATACGAGCAGTTCCTACTCGTTTGTATTAAGTTTTCATGTATGGTGTTATAATGTTTGATATAATAATTAACACATATAAGAAGAAGTATCGATCAGTTATCAACAACCTCGATTTGGAAGTCAACCACATATTATTATATTGGCATTCGAGCTATTATCACCGATCATCGTTTCATAGACGAATCGCACTTTGCATTAGTCAATCTTATCCATAAAGTCACCGATGATAGTACAGGAATGTTGTGAAAAATATGAGACAAGTGGCAACGATCGAAAAAAAAACACGCGGATTCTGGAGAAGAACCAAAAATAGCTTATCGCCCATCGGGTATTTTCCGAGCGGTTTGTTTTTGCGGCAGTCGCTGCGCCACAACAAGAACACAATAAGAAATTCTTTATGCGGCATTGCCACCGTTACTAAGTTCAGTATAACCTAACTTAAATTTATTTAATTGATTTCACCATTTACAAAAGATGAACTCATCTGTCATCGGTTAGTTTACACTGGAATTCATTATGAATTATCGGAAAATAGTCATTGGATCATTCGTTGATTATAACTTATAATATACCTAAATAAACTTTTTTTTGTATAAGACTTCAATTACAGAGACAATTAGCCAATCATGAGTTGATTATGGGATATTACTGTGAAGGGAGCACATGTATGAAAATATTTATAGGTACTATTCAAGAGTTCATTATATTGAGTACCTATATCATACATTTTTATCTAGATTAATTTGTTTAAAAAATTTAAATATATTGACAGTGTTAGCAAGGCCGTATAAACCTCAGGTGCAAAGGAGCATTTTGCTCCTGGTGACAAATTCTAAAAGGCAGCAAAAGATTTAAACTAACTATTTGAAAAATAAAATGTAACAATGATTTTAAATACCTAATAATTTAAATCATTTCAATATTGTTGCGTGCCAATATCAAATCCAGACTCAGAATGTTATTTAAATGGAATTTACAACTCTTAAAAACAATAATGTGTTTATTACGTATAAATGAAGGTCATGTAACTGATACAAAAAGTGGCAGAGTGTTGTGAAGTTGCTCAGGTCTTCGTGGCTCTGGTACATCTGCCCCTGTTGGTCTCTGGACTCCCTTATATACAAAGAAGTCTCTTGTTGTTGTAATCAACAACCTTCTAATTCATATTAATTCTTGGAATTGTTTTCACACTTGAAAACAACAATCTCCAGGATGTCTTCTGTTCTCAATTAGCAATTCGTGGAAATGCAATAATACATTTAAACGACCTCGTCACACGACTGCTATTTTGATTTATTATTATGTTTTTACAAATATGAATCTAATATCTCGTATACATTATAATTATTAGATCACATATAGGTATATCTATATTACTATTGCTAACACCTCTAGCAATATTACATATTATATTATATATATTTATATTATTAGCATATTTCATAACCCATAACAATATAAACTTTGAATTTTTCATTAAAACTGTGCTTAAAATATTTTAAATTCCAATAATAAGTATTGAACGATATACGTAATTATACGAAATACAAATTCACATTTAATGGTGGATATGATTATATGAAGTTTCGAAATTCAAAACTTTTTCCTTCGTCTAGATATCACATGAAGTATAGTTTTTTTTAAAGAAAAACGGTTCTTAGAGGCCTTTAGTTATAAAATCTTGGAAAACCATATTAATGATTATTGATTACTAAAAAGTACGGATAAAGATACTAATAGTCAATAGATATTAGATATAGCATCTATATCTCGATATCCGTGCTAAAAAGTAGCAGGAACAATCAAGTAGATTCACCGTTTGTTCCATGGAGGTTGTGACGGACAGGCAGCGCTAGTAAACGTTTTTGTTATCACTTATCATCTATCGCGTAGCAGTTAATACATAATAATAATTCATAATAGTAGTAATAAACTAATAAATAGTAATAAATAATAAATATTTAATAATAATACAACTTACTACTAAAAACATACACAAGTATTAACCACCAAGTCGCAAGTTGTAAGTACAAAATTTCAAAGTACTAACCACAGCTAATCTTTAGCTGTGCTAAATTAAGTAGGTACAACTAACTCCCTAGTCGCAACTAATATATATTATGGCCATTATACATTATACTTATCTATATACTTGCCACTTGTAAAGTTGTAATGGCCCCGTCATAATCAGTACCTAATTTATTTTCCATAATTCTCAAACCAACGTGACTAATTGGTATGAACGTCATCGTTCAATACAGTAAGCCGCATAATAATAATAATGATAACATAAATAATAATTAGGTAATAATGGAGATTGCGAATTGTTAATACTTAATAGTATACCACTGTTCCAGCCATTTTGAAATAATTACTACTGTTTTACGTACTTATGTTATTGTTTCCAATCATCGATGTAAAATAATGTAATATTCCTAACGCAACGTTGTTTAATAAACAGTACTGCATCATACATTTTCATCACCGCATCGTCTATTTCACAGAAACCTATCAAAAACTGCACACTGTACCTATCTACAAATTTCCCTTCTTAATGTAGATCATCAACGGACGATAACTAATGAGTACACCCGTTACAACTTCACGAGATTTATATTTCAGGTAAATAATTTTACTTTCAATAATAACAACTCATGTTGTACGATTATATTATGTCTTCCTTCCTCCCCCCCCCCCAATTATCTCAAATGAATTTAACCAATCACCCGGACTTGAAATAAGTCGTAGTTTCAACAGTTTTTATTCGACAATAAAGCGATTACTTTTTTTAAAACCACCATGGCATTAAGTATAAGTATCAACCATGGTTTATGTCCACCACTGAATTTTAATTTGTTTTTACGTCTGATCGTCCATAGCGAATCAATTTGCAATCTATGAGAATTCAAAAATCCCGCCTAGAGTAAGATAACTAAATCTATACAACGCCTGAAATGACCACTACGAGTTCAAAGTTTCAAACTTATGCAGAAGTAGTAATGAAGTCGATGAACTACAAACATACAGTGAACATTGTTTATCATTTTTCTTAATTAATATACTTCAACAAGTAAAAAAAGATTTTAACAAATTTTCTCAGTACACTACGTTGTTTAAACTTCATATAAAGAACATTTAGAGAGAATTAATACGAATTAAGGTCTGTATTCGGTATAATTCAATACCTATAAAGGTACATACTATAAAATATTAAAGTAATCACTAATCATAGTATAGTCAATCAATAGTTGAATAGTGTAGTTTTACTGTTGTAGTAATATTTATTTATTTATTTTTTTTTGTTAATTTATATAGTTTTCTTATACAGTTGTTGGTAGGAATGGATAAGGGATCTTACATTTCATTCATAAACGGTAACACTGCGTTATTCATTGCGTCTATCAAAATATTATTATATCACATAAATATATGATATTATCATAAATAATAGATGTAAAATAATTTTACTTATGAAATTTCTCAAATAATTCGTGATAGTAAATTTACAACGATTGTAAATACATCGTGTGTTGTGTTTTCATTTCGTATACTTATACTGCATTACTGTATTACTACATAGGTACGCCACACAGTTAGTTGTTGTCCTAACCTGACGTTGAAATGTTAGGGTTTAACTGTTATTAATTAGGTAAATATTAAATAATAAATTTTAAACCATGTCTGTTAAGGTAAAAATGGAAAACGTACAACAAAGTTCAAATGGGTCTAGTTTCAATGACTATAACGACGTCAATTTGACTATCCGGATTCTATTTCATGGCCGAGTATGTTGTATATTTTATGTTTTGCATTACTTAAGAATACTCTATATATGCTCTTGTTGTTCGAATCTATTAACTTTATACATTGTCATTAGTTTTGTTTTTAATATTAAGTAAATTAACTATTATTAAAATTCAAGACAATATTATTTATATTATCTTGTCTTTTTTTCTCAACATTTGACAACTTATCTATGAT